GGTTGCGCAACAAAATTCTCAATAGAGACATTCTCGTTGGACTCCACGACTCCTCTACCGCTCAATGTATCACGGAGGAAATCGTTCAACTTAATGCCACGAATTGGCCCTTCGCCCTCAAGCAGTACATCTTCGATGCCAGTGGCAGGTGTCCACTGCTGTTTACGTCCCTGCTCCCTCCCTTGGCCCTGTGCGACCTGCGCGCCACCGCCGGACACGCGGCGCGGCGCCATCAGAAGAAACGATGGGTGGAGGGCCCCACGCACACCGCCGGCGGGCGGCCAGCGGGCACACGCGTCGGCGACGCACAGTTGCGGCTGCGGAATGCTGCGCACTCCACGCGGCCGCACCGCAGCAGCTCTCGCCGGGACAATTGAGACGCACAGCCTTGGCCGCATTGCAGCGTGAAATCGCACAAAACTCCGCCACATTATCGATATTTCCTTCACTCAACTGATGTGTGTGTGTGTGTTCGCCGTATCACTAGCACTGCAAAAACGAATTCTTCACAGCCACAAAAGAGAGAGAAAAAAAGAGAGAGATGCGCACACGAGACGCACCTCCCCAACGCCTCCGCAGCCACGCATCGGGAGGACGGGCGGCTGGCGGGGCGCAACAGGCCCCGGGCAGCAACAACCCACAGCGGCCAGCTGCGCCGGAGGGACGCACACCCGCAGTGGCGGCCCAAACGCGTCGCGCGGGCCGCACGAAGGCAGAACTCCACGGCAGCGGCGGCCACCCCCCGCCTCTGCGCCTCCGTCACGACGACAACGGACGAACCGCTCGCGGCCGCACTCCCCCTACACACGCACGCACGGGAGGCGAAGAACGAAGGAACAGCGCGCACACACACAGCCGCAGCGAGAGGGACGGGGCGGGCCCAAAGTCCGCCGCACATTCTGCGATGGAACGGCGCCCCCACGCACAGTCGCAGTGAGACACACGCCCCACTCACACGCACCCACCGTCTATTCTCTCCCGCCGCAGCGGACGCAGAAAACGGCGGCCGCACGCCCCGTCACTGACGCGCTGCCGCAGCGGAGAACAAAAAAAAAGAGTCATCGTCGCGGACTGCCGGTGCCTCCAGCGGGAAGGAGGAAATGGGGGCGTGTCGGCGGCACAGCCAGCGACGGCGGGAGCAAAAAAGGCACGGAGACACGCAGCGACAGTGGCAAACACGGCGCACAAACTAAACTTAGGCCGCGGTGAGTTATCCCAAAATTACGAAGAATGTTGATGTCCAGCAGGCCGCCCAGGGGGCAGCGAAAAAAAAAATATATTAAATTACTTCGGCAGTTGTTTTTATCACTTCACGTGTCCAGAAGCACAAGAGGGCAGTGAGTGTCTGTGTGTATATTCATTGCCCGCACAAAAAAACAAAACAAACAAAGCATCGCCCCAGTTGCATGAGCCCACACGTCTCTCTCATATTTCGTGTAGAGTTCGGCCTTCCCTTCAGCAGGGCAGCAGTTGCGTCAAATCCGCGAG